GATGGAAGTGGATAATGTAGATGATGATGAATTATAAAAATTATATAAATAAACAAACAGATTGAATATTTATTTTTAATAATGAATTTCCATAAAATATTTTTGTCTTTTTTTTCTTTGTCAACATTGTTTACTGCACACGTACAAAACATCCTAGAAATAGAAATGAAGTAATCAGAGTTGTTGTAGAAGAACGACTACCACAATTATACACTTGGGAATTTGTTAAAGAATGATATAAATGTGTTTTAAGAACAGACGGTAAAATATGTAAAGGATATAACAGAGGTCTATTTCTCCAAAAATTTAACTCTAAAGGAAAAGCAATATACGAACCCGTACATAAACCTAAAAGAACATTCGGAAAAATGAAAAGACCGAGAACATAACTTTAATTTCATAAATATTCATAATTTATTTAACATCAATTATTTATTCTAAAAATATATAAATAAAGAACTTTATCTTTTACAAAATATCAAAATGCCAGAAATTAAATGTAGTTACGATAGAAAAAAATTTAAAAATTGTAAATACAATAAAAAAACAACAAAAAAAAATTACAAACTGACTAAAGATGATGAATTACTAGAATACTTTGTATCAGGAGTAGCAAGAGTAAATTTTCAAAACAAAAATGAAATTCTTGCCGATAATACTTTTAACAAAATAAAAGATGAAATAAAAAACACATTGGATCTTAATAAATTAGCAGAAAATGGTCCAATCGATAAAGAAATTCAAAATGCTAAATTAGACGATAAACAGAAAGAACAATTACAAAAACTTCGAATCGATCAAGAAACAATAGTTCTAAGATATGAAACTCTAAAAAATAGAATTAACAAAGAAACAAATGTTGATAAACTAAGAGATCTAAATTATTGGCAAATACAAATAATCAACAGAAATTTACCAAAAACATTAAAGGATGATCTTGATAAAAAAAGAAAAGAAAGACTCGATTACCTTGTAAATTATATAAACAATTACAATCAGATGCAAACTAATATAGAAAATGAAACTGATATTGGAAAATTAGAAAGTTACTAGGTTAATCAAATAAAAGGTTCAGATTTTACACTAGAAGATAAAAACAATCTTGATACAATAAGAGAAAATAGAATCGATGAACTTAAAAAAACAGAAGAATCAAAAGATTACAATGAAATATGGAGTGGAATATCAAGAGAAACATCGTTAGATAAATTATATACTAACGAATATTGGTACCAACAAATTAAAAATAACCAAAATCTAAACCGAGAACAGAAAATTAAATTGGATGCAGAAAGAACCGACCGAATAAATTTTTTATCTAATCAATACTATGATCAAATAAGCAAAGAAATAAAAAACTTTGATGAAAATAATTATAGACAACTTAATATTGTGGTCCAATCGATCATAAAATCAGACAATTACAAGATGTATTTTTAAGTAAAGGCAGAAGAACCAAAACCTTACAACAAGAAAGACAAGGAAAACTCAATTCAATCTTGAAAGAAAGAGAGTTAAAAAAATACGACGATTATGATGAATCAATTGAAAAATTTTTTCATTGGAAATAGGTTCAACAACTATCAAATACCAGACAACTGGCAAAAAACATCCTCGCTATGAATCAAACTTTATTATCTCCTGAAAAAGATAAATTTACATTGGATAACTTGAGAAAACTTCGATTTTACACTTTATTATACAATACCATAAAAGACAACATGGAAAAAGATACAGATAAATAGGGTGTGGCGACTTAGTGAAGTGGTCAAGTTGTTACCCCCCAAGTGGCAAGTCAAGAGTTCAAACCCCACTGTTGATAAAAATTCGAATTTCTATTTGTATTATAGTAACTGTCTTCTTAAGGTTGGAATATCCGATCCTGTAACTATAGTCAGACCAAATAGTGGCTGGGATAATCACTACCCAAAATTGGGTTTGTGCCTGAC